AGTGGAGTCCACGTGTCTCTTCTTTCGGTTTGTCTCCACAATCATGAATTCGCATATAGTACTTGTAAATTTTTCTATCATAATATTTTTTTTATGTTGATAAAAAAAATTTATTATATCTGTTAATGAAAAAAAACCTACAATATAGGCTTTAATAATGCAATCCAATAAGAGCACGGAACTTTTTTTTTTTTATGGACCCAGTTACTTGATGTCTCTACATTGGCACTATTTTGCAAGGAGGTGCTTGTATTTATCATTATTCTAGATCTTGATGTTGTCCAAAAAGACGAGCTGCTCTTGCATGTGAATGAGAAGGATATAGCCTTGTATGAGAAATTACTCCACATGCTTTCTTGTCCTAATTTTTTACTCTCGGTCTATATATACGTCCCAATACCATTACAGAAACTGCATAGCTTGAGGAGATTCAACACCCAAAAGATTCGACTCAGCAAATAGTAAGGCGATTTATCCAAGGTACTTTTCACGATGTAATATTCTTGTAACTCATACGTTGTATTGTTACTTTGTTTATGGGTTCGAGTTCGACAATGTGAAGTTTATTACCTTGTGATGTCTTGCTCTCTCGTGTTCTTTTAATTGTTACTAGTTCTTCTTTTCGGTTATCAATGACATTTAATTAATCTTGATTAGAACTATCATTCACTTCTTCTGTCTTGGCCGTAAATTGCAACTGATTTATCTCACTGCACAAAGAATTTGATCAAAGACAATGCCGGTGGAGTTTGAGAAGGAGATCAATGTTCAAACCAGCAACAGGGGAGATTATCGAACTTTCATTGAAAAACTGCGTGTTAAATTGGGAGAGAGATTTTCCCACAATCGTCCTGCACTTGCTATTCAAGAGAATCCACCTACTCGATTCTTCAATTTGTTAATACGAACCAACGATCACTTTGTGAGGTTCAGGTTTCGAATGGATAACCTGTACTTGATTGGCTACCAGATGGAGAGCGGACAGTGGTTAGAGTTCAAAAACAGAACCTGTGTGCATCTAATTCAAGAACAAGGAACCACCTTCCTACGCTTCGGTGGTAACTACAATAGGTTAGCAAATGTTGCTGGCCTGAATATGGAGCAAATAACAGTTGGCTTCTACAACCTAGGGTACGGTATAAATCAGCTTGCTACATCGACAGCTAGGGAGATTAGGGCACGTTATCTGATTGTTGTGATTATGATGATCTGCGAATCAACCAGACTAATTCCTATACTCGACTATATGGCTACCAATTTTGACAACTCGCATGGCACTGGCTCTTATGATTACAATGCCGAAAATCGTAACCGAGAAGGCCAAATCCAACCTTGGATTACTGTCTTAGTTCGTGCTTGGGACTCTTTCTCAGGAGCTTTGTTGCGTGCTGATGCTTACCCAAATGAATCGTTTCAACTTCGAAAAAATGTTGTGCAGCTTCCACCAGATAACAGGGAAATACAAACTATTGCCCAAGCTGCAGAAATACTTGGCATCTTGTTGGGACATTGCTTCAGGCCCAGTGGACCAGGAAGGTTCCCACGCATGACCTCTGATGAAGGGCAATGCTTTTTGGGGCTACCACTTGTGGAAGTGTTCTCGGTGCGCATTGATAACATAGATGGAGAGGATCCCGGGCAACTCTATGGCACAATCACTGTCAACGATGGATTAAATATAGAGTACATCTACAATCGCACAAGCAGCAACCCAGAATCCATCAAGCCAGGTCAAAATGCTTCG